TTCAGTATAGCGTCCCGTGGGTGTGAATTTTGGTGGGTTTCTATTCAGCTTTGGCAAGGTGTCCATTGGATCGCCTTTTATATCCCGAATAATTCGAAATTTATCTGGTAGGTCCTGAAAGACGGGTCGGATTTTCTGTGCGACTGGTTTATACTTTTTAGTTACCAGTACCTCCCTTGTCGCAGGATGTTCACCCTCCACTTCGCTCGGTTGCGCTTTACCGTCATGGTTATATATCGTATTCATCATGGTTTCCACTGTAGACGCGGTGCCCGATTCTTGACTTTGCTTAGAATAATATTTTTCTAAGTAGTTTACCAGAACCGTACTAGCCGCCTTGTCTGTCATCTTTTCTTTTTCATGTTTTAAGTATTTTGTAAGATACAAATTCCTAGTCTCTTCTTCAGAGAATTGATTGTCCATTGGTAAGGCATACGATAGGACTTTATATCCTCCCGCACCGTCTTCTTCAAAAGCTATCGCAACTTCTCCTTGATCTTTTTCAATCAAATCATCGAGGGTTGAAAAACTTTCTCAGTTTTCGGTTGAAGATCCTCTTCAGTGTGCATTTTCATCATTACTGGTGGTTTTCCTCTGTCAAAAGTGGGTAACATTGCTCTTCTGCCAGAGTTTGGATCCGTTATGGTTACCGTCTGTCCTCCGTCCATAGAGTTTACGACCACGCTCCCTGTTAACACGTCAAAGGGCCTGCCCAATAGTACTTTATAGGCTGGGTCCCGTATTACATGCACTTGCAGGTAAATCATAATTCCTCCGAAGTTAAATGGAACATTTTTGGCAAGACCAAGGGTCTTTTCCACAGTTCTATTCGCACTTTGCATTTGAATGGTTATATCAGGATCCCAAGGGACTGCTAATTTCTTAGCAACCTCCGCATCCATTGATACAATTTGTGAGCCACCATCCAACAAGCTCTCTACTTGACCAAACTTATTAATTACTGGATATATCGATTTTAAAGCATGGGACTCTTTAGATACGTAAATCTCCTTCGGAGTTTCCGATGAGCCTAGGCCTTGCAAATATTGCTCAACAGGGTCTGTCAGGACTATAGAACCCTTTGGTATTACTCCATCATCCTCTGTTGTGCACATAAAAGTGGCTTTGATGTCCAAGTCATTTATATTGATTTTTCCGAAATTAAAATTATCTTCTTGCTTTTTAATTGGAGGTGCGTCTTTATCAACCTCCTCGACTATAGTTACTTTTCGATTGTGAGCAGTCTGAATTGGTACCTTCTTTTTAGCTAAGGCCTTAAACAATTCTTGCCTTACTCCAGGAGAAATGCTCATAAGTACTTCCGCGCTTAGAGTAACAGGTGCTTTTAACAGACTGTTCAACGCTTGTTCCTCATTTTTAACATTTTCTATTGGAG